GGAGGCAGCTGGTTGATGTTTCTCTCTTATCGATGTTTGTAACTACCTATTCCTCTCTCTTCCTCTCTGTAAAACATCAATTTTATATATATATATATATATATATATATATATATATATATATATATATATATATGTGTGTGTGTGTGTGTGTGTGTGTGTGTGTGTGTGTGTGTATATGTGTATATATGTATATATATATATATATATATATATATATATATTATTGATATAGATGTATATAGATGCTCCTTCTCCTCCCATAGTCAATAGCTGTCAATGATTTAGAAACCATCCCCTCTCCCTTTCTCCGGAATATTATATTCATGTGTTGTTGTATTTTTTTACTCCTTCCACAGTCATCCCTCTTGCTCTACATATCCAATTATCACTCCTTTTCACCACATCCTTATATGTATATTCCCCATTAGCTACTAGGTTTAGCAAGTCACTTTCCTGAACCTCAGTTAGGTATTAAAAGGGCATGATAAAAATAAAAATACTTCATCATAAGTTGTAAAGCACTATACTATATAATGAATCAGTTTCATATTGTTAAAAATTGTTCTACCTAAAAATCAAAGGAATTATGCAACTTCCCAAGACTTTATTATTTCTTCATTGAAAAATCTAAGGGTATAACTACTCAATTCTCTGTAATCATTAGCTATTATTTCATTTATAACTAGAATATAGAAAATATTTTCAATAGTGCCAAGTTAAAAGCATAGGAATATTTTAAAACTTTGCTACTTTTGTTTAAATACAGATATTGCAGTCTAATATATTAGCTTGTTGACATTCAGAATTTTAATCCTGAGGACAGGCATCTGGGGTATATCTACAACTAAATTGGATTTGACTAAAATAGAACCTAAGAGCCGATTAAACTACCTGCATCCCTATCATTAAATTCCCCTTCACAATTCTGTAAACAAAAGATCTCCGTAACAAACTGAAGAAATTGAGTGGAAAAATATTTCCTTAAAGGATCGTCTTTTTTTTTTTTTTAATATATTTTTTATTGATTTTGTACAGAGAGGAAGGGATAGAGATAGAGAGTTAGAAACATCGATGAGAGAGAGAGTCATCGATCAGCTGCCTCTTGCATACCCCCTGCTGGGGATATGCCCGCAACCAAGGTACATGCCCTTGACAGGAATCGAACCCCGGACCCTTCAGTCCCCAAGCCGACGCTCTATCCATTGAGCCAAACCAGTCTCGGCAAGGATCGTCTTTTTAATTATGAATTTTTGTGCAGGGCTTTTTTTGGATCAAAAGTTCAGAGGTTTCACAGTATAAAGTCTAACTTCACTTGATGGTGCTAAGTATGTTAAATATTTATAAAATATTTTTGCAAAGACAGGAAAATAAATAATCTATTTAAAATTGAGATAATAGTTACTTAAACAAATGTCTACTCTTCCTAATTATGTGGTCTTTGGATACAATAATAATTAATGTGCCCTTCAATTGTAACCATCAATTTTGAACACACTCAACAAATCTCTGCCCTGCTTACTACACATGTTATAAAAATCTAGAGATAAAATCTGAAACAACACTTTAGAAATGGCAAAAGTAGAGACAAATGTTTGTGATTTCTAACTCCACTCATATCTCGTCCTTAATCAATAAATAAAAATGTATTAAAGTATAAAGTTACCTTATAATAGGTTATGAATTGTATGAGAATTTGTGGCAACCTTTAATGAATATTCATTAAAATACTGATACTTCCAATATAATTACTTATTATATTAAAGTCAGAAAATAAGAATAATTTACTAGATATTTATCGTACTTTGGTTAATTTACATTTAGGTAAGGGTCAACAAACACAATAAGCATTGTACTAGAGCTTGATTTTTCCTCAACTATTTTGTAATACAGCTAAGAACCTATTGACTTCTGAGCATTTATAAGAATAGGCAAGCCGAGACTGGTTTGGCTCAATGGATAGAGCGTCGGCTTGGAGACTGAAAGGTCCCGGGTTCAATTCCGGTCAAGGGCATGTACCTTGGTTGCGGGCATATCCCCAGTAGGGGGTGTGCAAGAGGCAGCTGATCGATGACTCCCTCTCTCATCGATGTTTCTAACTCTCTATCTCTCTCCCTTCCTCTCTGTACAAAATCAATAAAATATGTTTAAAAATAAATAAATAAATAAAAATAAAATCCACTAAGATAACACTTTAAAAAAAAAAAAAAAAAGAATAGGCAAAAGGAAAATACATTTCATATATCCACCGAAATGTCACAACGGAATGGAGGGAAACAGAGGAGCTGTAATAAAAGGCAGACTGTGGTAAAGGTCATATGTGGAGTATGTTTTCACAGTAATGATAGTAATTACTTCCTTAGGGAACTTTTCTTAAAAATATTTAATTTATTTCAGAAAGGGAGAGGGAGAGATAGAAATGTCAATAATGCAAGAGAATCAGATTGGCTGTCTCCTACACACCCCCAACTGGGGATGGTGCTTGTAACCTAAGCATGTGCCCTGACCAGGAATCGAACTGTGAAATCCTGGTTCACAGGTCAATGCTTAATCATTGAGCCTGTATTTTTGTCATTTTTAAAATTTGACATATACTAAAGAATATACATATAGTAAGTCTCCAGTGATGAATGTCATCAATTCTTTCCCTCTCTATATGCATGTGCTACTACTCCCTCATTGAGAAATGCGCTTCTTTTTCCCCTTCCATGGAAACTAGTCTGGCCTTGTTTGTTTTGACCAATAAAATACAGAGAAACCTGAGCCCAGGCCTTAATAGGTTAAGAAATTTCACTTCTCTGAACACTGATTCTTAGGGCTTCTCCTTTTGGAATTCAACCACCAGGTTATGAGAATCCTAAGAAAGGTCATGAGAAGGAGAAATAGATATACTGCCAACCATGTGATTCCCCAATTCATATATTTTTTTAAATCTTTATTGCTGAGAGTATATAAATGTCCATCTTTTTCCCCCTCATTACCCCTCTCCACCTGGCTCCTGCCCTGACCCAGGCCTTCATCATCCTGTTGTCTGTGTCCATAGGTAATGCATATATATGTATATAAGATTTTTAGCTAATCTCTTCTCACACATCCCTTTCCCCCTTCCCTCTGAGACTCATCAGTCTGTTCCATTTTTCCTTGCCTCTGGTTCTATTTTATTCACCAGTTTATTCTGTTCATTAAATATCTTATTCATTTATTTTGATTTCTAGATTCAATTGTTGATAGATATGTATTTGTTGCCTTTTTATTGTTCATATTTTCTATCTTTTTCTCCTTCTCCTCCTCCTCTTCTCCTTCTCCCCTTCTCCTTTTTCCTATTCTTAAGGAATACCCTTCAACATTTCAAGTAATACTTATTTGGTAGTGATAAACTCTTTTAGCTTTTTCTTGTCTGTAAAGCTCTTTATCTGACCTTCAATTTCTAAATGATAGTTTTGCTGGGTAGAATAATCTTGGTTGTAGGTCCTTGCTATTCATCACTTTGAATATTTCTTGCCACATCCTTTTGGCCTGCATAGTTTCTGTTGAGAAATCAGCTGACAGTCATATAGGTGCTCCCTTGTAGGTAATTGCTTTTCTCTTGCTGCTTTTAATATTGTTTTTAGCCCTTGGCATTTTAATTATGATGTGCCTTGGTGTGGTCCTCTTTGGGCTCCTCTTGTTTGAGACCCTCTGTGTTTCCTGGACTTATAAGTCTATTTCTTTCACCAGGTAGGGGAAACTTCATATAGGTTTCCAAATCATTGATTTGATTCTCAGAATCCTCTGCTCTACTGTTAAATTCCTGTAAATTATTCTTTATTTCAGTTAGTGTATGCTTAATTGCTGACTTGGCCTTTTTCATATCATTGACATTCTCACTAAGATCCTTAAGAGTCTCTGTAAATCCCCTGAAGATCTCCTAAAGATTCTAGAGCAGTGATTGGCAAACTCATTAGTCAACAGAGCAGCAAACTGCGGCTTGTGAGCCATGGTTTGCAGGACTTGATTCAGTGGGACTTTAGTGTTGAGTCAGCCCCTTGAGTGTGTCACGATGTAATCTGCTATGGTCTGATGCTGACCACTGAGTGCACTGGCTCATAGGTCTTCAGGGAGGCACAAAGGCAGCCACTGCCTGGGGCCACCAGGCAGGAGCTACAGAGAAATCTGCAGATTCCTTTTATTTGTATCAGGTTTGGAAGTGTCCATGCAAGACCCAGCTGTGAAGCAAGGCAGGCTGGTGCTAGTGCTGGATCATAGGCCTTGTATTGATAGGTTTGGGGCTCTTTGGCCCCGCTGCTGCTTGTTTGAGAGATTTTAGCCAAGTCTGAAGCCTAAGGAAGGATAGGCCATTCATATGCAAAAGCCATTCACGCAGGTTGGACGAGGCTGTAAATTGGATGAGGCAGGGTCTCAGGGAATCACCAGGGAAGAGCAAATAAAAATAGCTGCAAGTCAACCCTGCAGCCCCATGACACTGGGGATTGAGCCCACAACCTGGGTGTGTGCCCTGACTAGGAATCGAACTGTGACCTCCTGCTTCATAGGTCGACACTCAACCAAAATCCTGAATTTTCTTAATAGGATTTTGCCTTTTACACCAGCCAGGCTTTCCATTGATTTTTAGAGAGTGGAAAGGAGAGTGGGAGGGGGAGGAGAAAGTGACAGAGAGGAGAAGGAAGAGAAAGCAGTGGGGGGTGGGGAAGAGGGAAGGAGAAAGAGAGAAAGGGAAGGAGGAAGGAGGGAGGAGAGGAAAAGGGAGAGGAAGAGAGAGAGAAAGGAGAAACTGGTTGCCTCTTGCCTGTGGCTGGAATGGGACCCAGGATCATACCCACAACCCTTCTGTGCACAAGGTGACGTTCTAATTATTGAGTGACACTGGTCAGGGCTAAATGTGCTTATTTTTAAGCTTTGTAAAAATTGTATCACACTACATATAGGCTTCTGAGACTGGATTTAATTATCACTTTATTTCTCAGTTAATTTTACCTAGTAAATAAAATTACAAAACACACTTTTTTTTTTTTCAATAGCTGCTCCTTTATTAAATGTTTGCTTCATATCAGGCACTGCTCTGCATGCCTGATATATACAAAGTAATTTAATACTCAATTCAATGAGATAGATACCATTATCTCCATTATATAGATGAGAAACAGAGACAGGGGGTGGGGAAAGAGAGGGTTTAAGAAACTTGCCCAAGGTCATACTGCCAGTAAACATCAGATCTTGAATACAAACCTCACAATTTATTTTTTATTCTTTTATTGATGGACATTTGGGTGGTTGCAAACAAGAATGCCTTGAACATTCTCACTTGTACTCCTGTGCACATATGCATGAATTTCTCTAGGGTATATATGTTGAATAGGTAGGTATTAGAATATGTGAATGCTTAACCTTACATGATAATGCCAAATTGCTTTCCACTTTACAATCCCACTTATAGATGTCTTTTTTTTTTTTTTAATTGGTTTCAGAGAGAAAGGGAGAGGGAGAGGGAGCAATAGAAACACCGATGAGAATCACTGATCCGCTGCCTCCTGCACATCCCCTACTGGGGATGGAGCCTGCAATCTGGACTTGTGCCTGACCAGGAATCAAACTGTGACTTCCTGGTTCGTAGGTTGACACCCAACCACATAGCCATATCATTTCTCCAGTTTTCAGTCTAAAGTGGTATATTCATTGTAGTCTCAATCACTTATGAGATTAAACATATTTTCATATGTTCAGTCATATCCTCTGAAAGTATCTGACTTCTGTCTTTTGCTCATTTTACACAGGATAATGATGAATATAAGTGTAGATAACAGGCATTGTTGTTGTGTGTTCCTAGTTTTTTATGTATACAACTTAATTATCATCCTCTTTTACATAATGCTGAATTCCCTTAATAGGATCTTGCCTTTTACATCTCTATTTGTAAGTGCTATTCATCTGGAACTTTATTTTCTCCTACTGAATGAGTTTGATTCCAGTACAGTAATAGTTATACTGAACCTCATACATGAGCTGGAGTATTCTTTATTTATTCTTTGAACCTGCATTTTCCTAGACCATGGTCTATTTTGTCTAAGTTTGCAAATATATTAAGATGCTCCTGATAGTCTCTTATCATTTTTATCTTTACTATATCTATAGGTACTTTGGTCATTCATTTCTCCCATTGCTTGTGAATGTCTCCTTGCTTCTACATTGCTTATTCTATTGTTCTTTTCCTTACACTTAGTCTCGTTCCTTAGTTTAAAACCACATCCCTCAAAGTGCTGTTTCTGTGGCATCACCCAATTTTCCAAATGTAGTACTTACAGATTCTAAGTAAGTTTTCTCCTTTCATCTGTAAAGTTTTATTAAACTTGTAAATATAAGATTTTTAAGAATTAACTTTTATCACTAACCTCTAACTTATTTCTAATTATCCATTTAATACTATTTGAAATTTACAATAACTTATTTCATGTCTAGTACATGGTCAATTTTTGCTGATATACATGGATTAAAAAGAATATTCTCGGTTGATTAAATATGTTCATTGACTCAATAGTGAAAATTAAATTACTCAAGTCTGTATTCACTAATTTTTTCAGTCTGCCCGATTTATCAATTAAGAGCTGTTGAAATCTCCCATTATGTCGTTCAATTTGTTGAGTTAGTCCCATAGTTCATACATTTTGAGGTCATTTTACAAATTTAAAATTGTTATATATTCCTTGTGAATTGATCATTTTCCAATTATTTAGTAACCTCTATCTTTACATATAATAAAGTCTAATTTTATGTGATCACTAAAACTATACATATTCTCTTTTGCTATTTGCCTAATGATTGTTTAACCCAGCAAATTAAAAAAAATTAAACTGTTGGTTAATTTATTTTAGTCTATTCATATTTATTTTAATTATCTGATGTCTTATTATCATCTACTTTTTTCCTACTCCCACCCATATTTTTTCCCCTTTTTTATACTAAGTTATTGACTTCCTATTCCATATGTTGTTTATTTTCCTCTACAATGACTTATCCCATATCTATTCTTTAGCAGTTATACTTGAACATTTTACTATACAATATTTAACATAATTTTAAAGTTAAACAATATTTTACCCATTTTCTCAAAAGAACCTCAAAATACTTTAATGCTAATCACCCCTCTCACCTTATAAGTCATTGTCCAGTTTCAATTATATCCTATTTTACTAGTAAAAGTACACATTAATGTTGCATAAAATATTTAGTTCTACATTTGTTTAAAACTTTCCTTCTTATAAACACTTCCTTTTCCTTCTTGAGATCATGCTTTTGCAGTCTCTTTAATGAAGGTCTATTGATGGTAAAACCCGTTTTCCATCTAAACATGTCTTTATGGTCATGTCTGAATATGTCCTTCAGTCTTGCTTGGCTCAAATTTTAAGTTGAGTAGTTTGTTTCAGAATTTTGAAGGTGTTATTTTACCATATTTTGGGTATGTATATTGTTGCCATAAAGAAGCCTACTCAGTATTTGTCTCATCTTCCTGATCCTTTCCCCACTTTGATTGCTTTTATAATCTTGTTTGGTATCTAGCAGTTACATTCACTGGGGTTAGGTAGGTATGAATTTCATCTATATGTGCTTGGGATATATATTGTGTTTGCTGAATTTATGAATGCATATTTTCCAACAAATGCAGAAAATTGTTATTTTTTTCAAATACTGCCACTCCTCCATCCTCTCCATTCTTTCTCCCCCTAGTACTTTAGTCCTCAAAATTATTCCTTCCATACCTCTTAGTATTCATATCTTCCAGTGGCTCATTTCTCCTTGCTTTGCACTGAGTCATTTTTTAGCTTTAGCTTTCAGTTTATTTGCTGTCTTTTCAGCAGAGTATAATATGACATTCAACGTTTCCAAGGATTTTTTCCCCCCAAGTAACAGTTCTCATTTCTAGCAGTTCTATTTGTTTTATTTTTGCACATCTGATTGTGGTTCAATCCTTCATGTATATTGGCGATGAAACCTTGGGAGAGTTTAATTTGAAGATGGTTATTTCTATAGATTCTTTCTCATGCCAGTTAGTTTCAACTTGACTGGTGATCTCTAGTCATGAAATAACATTGCTTTATTTTAATCTATGAGAATCTTCAGCCTCTACCTTGCTTCTGTCAGGAGTTATAGGAGACTACAAATTGAGGACCACTCCAACTGTCCTGGGTAGGGTAGCATCTCAGATTCAGAATACTCTCCTTGTTTCTGGTCTGAGGCAAACTGCATAAGGCAGTGCTGCAATTGGTATCTCCCATGTGAGCAACCACAGCCCACACATATACTAATACAGTATTTATAACTTCCAACTCAAAATGTATTCATTTTTGTGGTGAAAGAAAAGTAAAGGTATGGTCTTTGGAGATCTCCCCTACTTCCCTTGGGTGTATTAATGCACTCAAAGGTACATTTTTATTCAGGATCTAAGTATTTCATAGAACCTAGTCTAATGTACTGCTGGAAGAAAAAAAATCTTATTTAATATAGTAAAACAATTATGTTATGCAAATACAAGAAAGCACATGATTTATGGCAATCTTTACTGACTCAAATCCGGAAAGGTTTCCTACCATTTGATCAGAACTTGGTCAATATTTTGGAACTAGGTAAACATTAGAAAGGTCCTACAGTATGAACTTACCCAATAAGTTGTTGCCCCACTTTGTAGAAATTTCTCCTGTTGTTCTATTACTAAGATATTCAGCCAACCCTGACTATTCAAATTTTCAATGTCCTGATGAATATGTGATCCAGATCAAGAGGACTAAAATCTGTGAAAATAAACCATCAGTTTGAACATTTAAAAATAAATAATAATGATATGTTACATGAAGCTTCCATCTAGATAAATAATTTTATTGCAGGGCTAAACAAGGCAGCTGGTGATTTCATTTGTCAGAAACACACCTAATAGGAGTTTGGCAGCAGGTCTGGCTGCTGTTGTCTTAAAAGCAGACGGCTTGTTTGCATCCTTATTATTCATAATTTTGGTCAGTGTTCTCTGGATGATCAGGAAGCTCTTTGTGCTTCACCCTAATCACTGAAGTAGTGAAAGGAGATACCCACAGCAAGGAATGCAACTGCAAATGCTGCAATCATACCTAAAATTAAATAAACACAAAACAAATGGAAATGGAATGAGTGGAAGAAAAGCTTACTTGACTTTAGCCTCTGAAATGCAGGTAACTGATGGGCCTAACCAATAACAGAACACACACAAATGCATATTCTTACACACAACAGACATGTCCTAAAAGCTGACAAAGTCTTAGAGGAAATACAGCAATAAGTTTTTTTAAAAAGTAGATTGCAAAGGTTAGACAGGTAATCATGTTCTTCACCACTTTAACGAAACCTTAAACAACAAAAAATAGTGTCTTATACATGTATGCACTCACACACATCTAAGAGAAAAACACATAATTTAAAAGGGTCCTATCTATTTACACTGAAATTCCAGTTGTCTCACGCCATTAGGCTTAAACCAAAAAGACAGCTCCAATGTGCAGTGGTTCTCAACCATTAAATGAAGTCACTTGGATAGCTACTGAAAACAACAGAAACTCAGATCACCATTCTAAAATCTAGGAACTAGTAACTCATTTTTGCCCTTAGATTATTAAGTTAAAAAACAAATAAATAGCCGAAACCGGTTTGGTTCAGTGGACAGAGCGTCCGCCTGTGGACTGAAAGGTCCCAGGTTTGATTCTGGTCAAGGGCATGCACATTGGTTGCAGGCACATCCGCAGTAGGGGGTGTGCAAGGGGCAGCTGGTTGATGTTCCTCTCTCATCGATGTTTCTAGCTCTCTATCCCTCTCCCTTCCTCTCTGTAAAAAAAAAAAAATTTTTATATATATATATATATATATATATATATATATATATATATAATTAATAAAAATAAACAAAAAACCGGACTAGAGAACCTCCCCCCCCCTCTCTCTCCCTTCTCCTCCCCCCCCCCCCACACACACACGTATAAAGAAAGTAAATAAGTGATAAGAAAAACAACTAAAACTTCTGGCTGTCAAAAATCTTAATACTTTCCATGAAACAATAGTGTCATGTTCTTTGATCAATAAGTCTGAAAAATGTGAAAGTGACTGCCATACTATTGTGGAACCTTTTAAATACTGAAGTCATACTATTGTGGAACCTTTTAAATACTGAAGTGCATTACAAATTTTCGGTCTCAAATTTGACTTTTTTTCATAAGAGATATCAAATCTGCAATAACAATCCTGAAAAAACCAATTTGGAAAGTATTGATCCTACTATATTAATCAATTCCCCAAGTTCTGCCTGCTTCTCTCCTAAAAGCACCAATAAAGTTAGCAGGAAGTGTCATCTTTGAGGGCCCTTGGGATAATGCATCATTTGTACATCTTTTCATCTCCAGGTCATAGCATGTTTCACAATTCTCAATAAATACTGGCTTAATCTAGTACCTTTAAGTAAAATAAAACCCAGTGATTATAAAGTAACAAAAAACGGAAGTCCAAAATATCATCTTTTTCAACCTTATAAAAGAAATAAAATACCCATGTTTCGCCGAATTTTCGACACTATTGTAGTTTGCATTGGTTCTTTTGGTTGTTCATCATCTCTATTGTCCTCTGGCGCTTCAGAATTCATAGAGGAACTCAGAAAAGCTGCAAGAGGATAATAATAATGAATCCTATTGTGGCTTTGACCATTAATAATTTCAAATGATTAGATATTAGTAATAAAGATAGGATCAGCAAACTGCAGCCCATGAGCCAAACTTGCAGGGGTTGGTCAGACTGCTACGGTCCAGATTTGCAGGGGTTGACCAGACCTTCTCTGTTCCACAAAGCCTCAAACAGTTACTATTAGAACGCAAACAGAAAAGTTGTCCTGCCTCTTGATCTAACCTGAGATTTGAACTATATAAGCAAAATATGGTGTGACATCTAAAAAAAAAATCACTGTTAGGCAAGCACAATATCTCATTTTATAGATGAAATATAAAACCTGGGAAGTTAGTGCATATATGAGGTCATGGGCAGCAGATTGAGGATTCAGATATGAGGGTTTTTTTTCTTCTTAATTATGGGTGAGAATAATTTTTGTAGGTTTGCTTAGCTGCATTTATTTAACACCAACTAAAAGTATTTGAAAAGAAAACATTCTTAGAGATCATACAGAGCAGTGGTTTTAACCTCTCTCCTCCTAGTGTAAAGAGTCTGACATAAACTCCAAGCATGTACAGCTGGTGAAAGCAGAATGACTCTGGTTGAAGCAGGGATGGGCAGCTCCTGGAGCCAGACTCCCTTCTTCCTCGCAGGTGGCAGAGGAGTTCGGTTCTATAGAACTCTGGGGAACTATGTTTGAAAGCAACTACTTCATATTGATCCCTTTATTTACAGGAATAAAACCACAGTGAGAGACAATAAATACTACTGTTTAAATTCCAAGTAAAATAGCCTAGTACATGGGCTTATATTTAAAATATGCTTATAAATGTGTGTATCCCAATATCCTAGCACATAAGCTTATTGAAATAGATACCTAGAGCACCAAAATGGATGAAAGAAAAAGGGGAAAATGCCTAGTTCTCATCAATTTCCCATGAAAAAAAATTTACTGTCATTTTCAGAAATAATCCTTCATAACTACCTCATTAGAATCAAGAGAAGTCCCATTCTTTTTATAACCTCTTAACATATAATAAAGAACTTTAAAAACAAACATATTTTTCCTTTTTCCTACTCCAATATCAAGCTGTCACAAAGGCAAACAAATCCTTATTATGAACTGTTTCTAAAACTATTCAGTCTCTTATATTTCTATAGCTTCTTGTTTGCTAAAGGGCCAAAACACCTTAGATCTAGACTACATTAGCCTATCAGCTTCCAATTTCCCCTAACTTCATCTGACAAAACTTGAATGGGAGGTGGGAATGGAGGAAGATGAAGTGGGTAAAGGGAAGACTGACGAAGACTTGACTTGGGGCGGTGAACAGACTTTATTTTTTTTTTGAGGGGGGTAGGGGAGGTGAACACACAATACAGAGTACAGATGATGTGTTGTAGAACTGTGCACCTGAAATCTGTATAATTTTGTTAACCAATGTCACCCCAATAAATTCAATTAAAAAAATGGAACGGGAAGCATCATTTTATTCATGTTAAAACACACACACACACACACACACACACACACACACACACACACAATCTTTGGCTTTTCTATCAGCAAATATCACTGGTAAAAAACTTTTCCTTTGGGCCACTATATCTTTGTATCAGGTAATGAATAAATAAAAATACTGATAAAGCATGAATTATATCTATTTGCTAAAGGAATTTTTTTATTTAAACACATATATAAAGAGCACAAAAATGGTTCTATTTGTCATGATATACATTTAATATAGAATTGTTATATGTAAAGATTTTTTTAGTAATAAAAATGGGATCAGCTAGTAATTTATTTCTATTAAAAAGAAATTGGTCAAAATCCTGTGATTTGATACAAATTCAAGTTAAGTTTACAGAAACAGCATTTTTCAAGAATAAATAAAGCCCTATCATAACTTATTTTTTTGTGAGGGTCTGTAGGCTTTTAATTCAAATCTCAGGTACTATGTTATTTTACCAAAACTTTAATTTAAATGTTAATGACATATGTTCAATAAGAAATTAGATTGTAACCATTCCTTAAAATCAAATAAGTTAACTTCAGACAAATCATGTAAGAAAACAACTTTCTTGAGCAACTGTTAACTGAAGAGAAAACAAGGGCCACGATGAATACATGCTAACTGTCTAGGTGTTCCATTTCCCACCAAGTTTGTGAATAGGTGGGCAGGACTATTTAGAAGCTTAAAATGAAACATTAGGACTCGAACTCCTTTGGTTAGTTGTCTTCTTCTCCATCTCTGACTCCTAAATTAATGAGGTTTCACTATAGCCAGGGATTTAGCCAAAAAATTTAAGTTCTGTATTACTTTTTCCTCATAATTAAATTAGCAACATTTAAGGAAACAGCAAAAATTAATTTTAGTCCAGATAGCAAAATAGAATTAGTAAAATGAGTTTCATCCAATTTTAAAGGTGTGTCTCCAAATTTTAGCTGATACTGTGGATAAAGCACATCTGAATTATTAAGTTAATATCTACGAGGAGGTGACTAATGCATCTAAGTAATTTTAAAGCCAAAGTCATCCCTAACCTTAAGTGAGTCATTTTGACAAATTGTTCTTCATCCCTTAAGTCATTTAAAACTATGTTATTTTAAGATATTTACTTGGCAAATATGTATTATAAACATAGCAACTACTTGGCAGCATATTAGAGAACAGAAAAAAGTAATAATCAAGCTAAATACTTATAAGTTTAATGCTAACTGTATAGAAATTGACTTCAATTTATAAATTTAAATATTTGAACTCCATTATGGTTTATTATATATAAAAATATTAATTTATTTAGGAAAATCTATGCAAACTATAAAAGATTACTTTCTACTTAAACATTAATATTTTTCATTATAATTCAGGAATCATTATTTTACAGCCTTATAATGCTAGTTATTATCATGCTGCCTTTATGTTTAGAAAGCATTTTACCTAACATTTTTACTAAATTCTCATACCAACCCCAAGAGAATCTGAGGTTCAGAGGGAACTTGTTTAAGGTTATACTGCTGCAAGTGGCACACCTGGACTAAGCTAAAATACTATCTGGGAAAAATTATGCTTCTAACATTTTTGAGTAAATTAGTAAGTGAATAAATGAGTGACTAAGTGAATCTAATTCTAAACCAATAGGATGTTTATGTAAAAGCACTTAATTTTTATATTACAAGGTTTATGTTTTCACCCTACTTCATATCTGGGAATATGTCATTTCATTATTAAAAATACACTAATTACTAAATCATTCCTTCTAATTTAAATATTTGATGAAGCAAAACAAATATAAATCTATAAAAGTAATATTCCTGGCTATAATATAACTCATACCAGTGTTCATTTCCTAAAAAGTCTAGAGTTTCTTTTACTGTATTCATCCTTCCAAATGAACTCAAATGTTACCTGCTCTGAGAAGATTTCCCTGAATCCCTTACAGGTATAGTGCTTAAGCTAAATAAATGTAGTAAATAAATAAGGCTATAGTCTTAAAGTCTGTATTGGTTAGGTCCCATGGAAAGATAATAAAACAAAACTGTTAGGGGGAAAAACACAGATTCTAGAGTCAAACTGCTTAAGTTTCAGCTCCACCATTACTAGGTATGTAACCTGACGAAGTTGTTTGACCTTTCTGACCCTCAAGTCTCTCATCTGGAAAATAGGGCTAATAATAATCTGCATCATAGGGTTGTTGTAAGGATTAAATGATTTTATATTTGTAAGGCTCTTAAAACAGTATCTGGAATGTAAGAGGTTCTATATAAATAGATAATGTTGTTATTAGAGTGTTAGGTTTAATTCAAGGTAATACATTTCAAGGAAGGCAAATCCTATATAATAAAAGGATAATATGCAAATAGATTAATTGGCAGAACAACCAGTTGCTATGACATGCACTGACCACCAGGAGGCAGATGCTCAACGCAGGAGTTGCCCCCTGGTGATCAGTGCCTTCCCACAGGGGGAGGGCCTCTCAGTAAAAAGCCCAGAAGCCGAGCTCATGGCTGGCGAGAGCCTCTCCCGCCCCTGTGGCAGCACTAAGGATGGCCTACTGCCGACTTAGGCCTGCGAGGGAGTGGGCCTAAGCCGTCAGTTGGACATGGACATCCCCGAGGGCTCCCTGACTGCGAGAGGGTTCAACCCCTGCATGAATCTCGTGCACCGGGACACCACAGGTTAAAAATTCCTTATCTAGAGAAAGGCAACCAAAGTGGCAAGATAAAATGAGGTCTGAAAACTATAATAAAGAGAATAGTTAAAGGTGTATGGGAATGGCTGGCTTTAAAGTATTTAAAACATAACTGTTACCCTCAAATTTAAAGCATGGACCCTAAAAAGCAGTACTCATGTTTTATTGCTGCAGATTACTGAACAAAGTAAAGATTACAGGAAGGCAGACTGGTATTAGGAATAAGGAAAAATAGAGTCTAACCATCCATTTGCAAGCAATATAGATTCAGGATTCAGTATTATAAGACAGAGGATGAACCAGGACAATTCTAATGATCCCACATAAAGTGCATTCAGATATCAACAACAGAATGGGTCAAGAATTACTGGTAGGCATTAGTGAAAGAAATAAACAAAACAAATAAAAACCTCCACCCTCACGATTCTAAGTTTGGTTTACAGGGATATCACAGTCACTAATATGGGAAAACGTATTTTGAAAAGTAGCAATTATTTTTTCAACTAGTCTACATTCAAAATCTCTATTTGAAAATCGTTTTCAAAATACTGAAACACAGCTGCTGCTTTAACATCAGGTAGCGAGCAATTTGGAGTGTTGTTATTGTTTTCCTTTAAAACGAACTTACTATTCCACATCATGATTAATACTAACCTGGAGCTGTTAAAAATCCAGCCTGTTAGTCTCCAACTAACCCGAGGCTTTACTGACAGATTTGTAATTCACCAAACAAACACCCACTTGACATCATACTACAAGAGAACTCTGAATCAAACACTCTACTTTGTGAGGGGTGGGGATTAGTTAAGCAAAAGAGGAACAAATAAAAAGGACTTAAAAATTGCTATATTCTAATTTCATAAACATCCATATTCAAAAGCAACTTAAAAACTTTATTAGTATATCAGAAGTTTCAAGATTGATAAATGGCCATGTATGTAATATTCATTGATATTTGCAAATAACTACTTTCATCACATATTTTTTAATGTTTCAGGAAGTCTGTCATACCTGCCTGTACACATTTATTCACGGACATGTTTCATAGCCTATTTTCACTAGAAACAAAAACAAAAATGAAGCAAAGCCAAACAAAACAAAAAAACGGCCTTCCAAAATGCAAGGTCAAATGTAAAAACGACGGGTAGGGGAAGAAAATGTGTCATACAATTAAGACAGTTTGGCAAATCTATACTCCATAAAAATTATCAATATTTTTGGAACTGCCTATTTCAGCTTAATATCCAGTTATATAAAGGGGTTAAAAAAATAAAATAAAGGCAAGTAGTATGAAAAAGATATTTAATAAAGTATTTTTAAAAACATTGTGACATCATCTTTAACCAAATAATCAAAATAATGGGTTTTAAGAAAACTTCTATTATAATAAAAGAAGTACCTTAAAACCATATATTTCCACCTACTTAAGGCGACTCTTGTTTCCAAATCTACCGTATTTTTCGGACCATAAGACGCACTTTTTTCCCCCCAGAATTGGGGGGAAAAAGTCCCTGCGTCTTATGGTCCAAATATAGCCTACACATATACTTTAAAAAAAAAGTTTTTTTACTTGCCCGGCTCTGTGTGGTCTCTGTGTGCTTGCCCGGCTCTAAAATGGTTCTAAATGCTGCCGTTTACTTTACAGGGTTGATTACATGTGTTTATGACTGTGATGTTGGGTTTTAATGCACATAAAATATTTTAGGACACTATTTGTTTCAGAATCTTTTTTTCTTCATTTCCCTTCTCTAAAAACTGGTGCGTCTTATGGTCCGGTGCGTCTTATGGTCCAAAAAATACGGTACTTGCTAGGCTTAGAAAAACCTGAAATATCTTAAATGTTGATTCAACTTCCCAGAAAAACTGACTGCATGTTTATATATGCAGAAACTAGACACCTTTTTAAGTGCCTCAGAAATTATCTATCAGAACTAGCTTTAAGGAAAAGACATATTTAAATTAACGTCTCATAGGTGTTCTTAGCAATAGTCTAATCAGATTCTTAAATAACACCATGGAATTACCTGTGTTGATTTCCTCTGTAATTTCCAAATCTTCAATTTGAATCCTATGATCTAACATCTCTATAAAATGGTCTCTGATTTCTTCAGCTGACTCATCACCGAATTTATAATCACATAACATTACCGTGGATCCCGGAATGGGGACAAAAACTCGGTGAGGAAGGATGTGAAACTCTTTTTCAGAATCTAAAAGAAGAGACATTATCAATATTTAGATAAGTCGGTCACTGGTATCAGTGACATAAATTTTGTAAATAAATGGAAGTCAATTTTGTAAATAATTGACTTGACACAAAATTGCTATTACTGAATCCTGTTTTATTTCAATATCCCTGGCCTCTGCAAGGGATCTAAATGATATTCCTGTGAAATATAAGCTTATCACTGCATTATAAACTTAAGGCATATAAGGATATTGCTGATTATATATTCTTGTATTCTTGTATTCTTTCTATGAAAGAATAACCAAGAGAAAATTTTGTCCCTGATTATTATTATTTTTTTAACTTTACAATTTCCTCCTCTTCATGCAAGTTTGGAGCCAAATTAGTGGCCCATTTTTATGGAGTGTATAGAATATGACAGCATACATTTTTATATATGTATGTATAAAATAGTCTCACCACTCACATAATCTTCAAAGTGCTAGTGGTCCCTTCTATCAAGCCTGTGTATGACAGCAAGTTATATTTTATATACTAACCTCACTACCAACTCCATCTTGTTTTTTTTTTCATTTCCCCTTTGTCTCATTCTTATTACTAATATTTATTATTCTGATCATTAATCTTAATTAAGTTCTTAGTTACTCCTAGATCCTTATTACATGTACATAATTAATAATGCATACATATTCTGTTTTTCAAATCAGGTTACTATGCTTCTTGAGGAACGGAATCTGGTCATTGATTTGTTTCTATCACATTGCCTTGAACAGAACAAATGTTTAATGAATATTTAATAAATAGACATACTAAATGCTATAAACTAGAAGTAATATTCCTGGAACAACAATTAGTGCTACATATTGTCATAAATAGCATTAAGTAATTTTTGAAAAAATAACCTGGATCTAAATAAATAATGAAGAACTATGTTTCACTCTTCTTTGAATACTCACAAAGTAAAATATATTCCCCCCAATTTCTAATATCACTGGTTCAAACTAACACAACTGGTTCTATACCATGATTCTGTCAATAGTTAACTATCAACAAAGATCAAGATTTTGTGTAAAGAATGGACTCTTTCAGCAATGGATATAATTTTTAAACCTACTACTGTACAGGCCAAGTAGAAAAGCAGGGCTCACATTTATAGTAACCTTTTTTCTTGCCAAAAAACTAGTGGTAGCTTTATATAACTGCAAAGAGAAGACAAAGAATGTCTGTCAGGGGAAATGCAATGACTTAAATTATGTGTTTCTGCCATATTATACTTATTCCAATATTATCTGCTTTTCATAAGAAAAGGGGAAAATAGTTTTACTCTTTGAACAGACTGCCACCTATCTGTAAAATTATATAACTACAATTAATTTGCAGCACGTCCACACAGATGGTTAGGCATCTATTATTTTATTTGGGGCCAGATTCTTAAAATAGGTGAAGTTCAAAACTTTTAATGATGGCTATAATATGTATGTATAATTGGTATGCAAACTACATTCATTCTAATTTTGCCTAAAAAAGATAAATACGTCATAAAATCACATGTTAAAGATTTGGTTATAATGAATTTAAATTACTCACTAAAAAAGAAAATGCTCTTATAATTTCAAATTAAAAAGTTAATTTAGCCATTTAATATCTAAATAAAACCAAGTTTTCTAATTGGTCTGGGGCTAAAAATGGGAGGGGGACCTTTGTAAGAAGACACATTTTAAAAAGTATTCCAAAAAGGAGTCCTTTAGGAATAGTCCCACAGCAGAGTATCTACAGTAGTTCACCGTTATTTCAAAACAGAAAAAACATTTAAATTTAAGCCAATACGATCAGAATTGGGCTTCTACTGATTAACAGAGTCCCAACTCATACTGAAGTATTAGAGTAATTTTTGTAAAATAGGTGCTGTCTAAGCTGACTCTTAAAAGAGCCATTTGCATGAAGGGATGAGAAGTGCCACCCACAGACTGAAACCACGACCACAGGCAAAAAGGATTGTACATGACTGAAAGGACAAGTGATATGAATGGATATGGTGTAGCAATAAAAGAAAGTAAGAGGTTTCAAAACTGATGGCCTCATTTTCATAAGGAGTAGGACATCCTCTGAGAGGTTGCACAGGATTGAATGGAGGCTGACACAGAATGATGAAGATGGTCTGAAATACTTTCTAAGGGGAAAACCCCAGGATAAGTAAAAAGAATGAATGGAGTTCATATATATATTTTTAAATTTTTTTAGTCATTGAAGTATTATGTTCTTTCACCTGGATCCAAAGACTATGCTTGTTTTATTGATAAAATGAGGAATTTAAAGTTAATATGCCCTTTGCAGACTTCCTGATGCATGCAAAAATATTCTATGACATATATTCTACATTTTACCATTCTACAAAATCTTACAAGCACAGGAGAAACATAAACTAGGTAAAATGAGGACTAAATCTAAGATCTAACAAAATATATATATATTTTTTATAATATAAACAAATGTAAACTATATTTTTATAATATAAACAAATTGAAGTTTCCATTTGTTTATATTATAAAAAAATAGATATATATTGTTTATATTTGTTTATATTATACTTGCAATTTAGTCTTTTATAATTCATTTGTTTATATTATACTTGCAATTTAGTCTTTTATATTGATATCCTAAGATCAACTTACATGTTAATGGAATAAGTGGCCTGTTACTAAAGTTTAAAAAAATATATTTACACTTGCGTTTCTTCTGGAAATATAATGCTATACTTCCCAAAAATTAAAGTTAAGAAGTTTTAAGACAAGTATCATTAAATAATTCCCTTCCTTCATCACCTCTAACATAATAGCAACTACTATTTATTGATAGCTTGACTTAACTTTAAAAACAGCACCTTGTTTAATCTCACAGGCTCAAAAAGTAGCTACTATAATCTCTGTGTGTGTTTTTTATAAGATAATGGATGTTTAGATAGGCTGAATCATTTGCCTAAAGTCACTTAACTAGTGGCAAAATAGACAAAGAGCCCAAGACCTTACCTTTAGTCTTTGTTCTTTCCACCAAACTACAATGTCTATTCTCTTCACATAGCCATAAAGGTTATTCAATTGCAGTGAAAAATATTTTTTATTTTTTAAAAATTTAATTTGTAACTTCTGCAACTGCTCTTTGAAGCAATTAATTATACTGAATGGACATCATCAAAATTTTCAATTATTCACTCACTTATAAAATGATACCAGGACAGTCATATAATATCATTTTTATGAAGCATTTTTAAACAGAGTAATTAAATAATATGTGATTAGATAGATCTTTGGTATTAATGATGGATATATGTCTACATCTCTGAAAATCTCAAAATTCACTGTTCAGCTGTCATCATACTGTTGCTCAGAAAGTGAGTATTTAACAACACGAGAGCTATACCATCCACAAAGCCACGTAGCAAAAACAAAGCCATAATGAGGTGAGGTTGGTAGGCTGACTAGGTGGCTAAGTGACCAAGTTTCACACAAATATCTCTAACCATTCTTATATGCTGCATATAAGAATCAACGTCATGTCTCAGCATAACTATTCATTTCAGTGGAGAGAACCTCAGGGTTATTTGTGAAGTACAGCAAGGACAAATATGAAATCTGGCAATTCCAGAAATCAATACTAGCAATATAAAAAAGATGATTAGCCTACCGAATCTAATATACTATTTACTAAAAGAAGTTAATTTTGTAGAGGAGCAATGCTTTCTTCTATAAATATAAAAATACTCGCTTAACAAGCTAATATATATATGTTTCAATTATATGTATATTCAACTGTGAATTCCTAATCTACTCACATTTGAATGGTAGCAAGGTGAAAGATGAATATGTAGCTCTAACAAGCAATCTCAATACTTTTTCTTTTTGAATAAAATAAATATATTTAATAAAAATTATAAAAATTGTATAAATTGTTTATGTTTTATAATAGATATAATAGTTAGAATAAATAGGTTGTGACACCATGGCCCAAACTTTTTAAATTTAATTAAAGTCTGTTAAGTAATTGATAAGAAGTATATAAACTAGTATACAAAAAATTTGGTAAGAATGTCAATTGCATATAAACCACAAATTAATACCTATTAAATAATCTATTATATAAATATTCAACACTAATACATGTTTTGATTATGAATAAATTATTTAAAAAACCTAATATATATTAATTTTTAAAATTAGCTTTAAAATGTTAGCACAGTTTTCTAAACTGGTAAAAATTCATGCATAAATTTTTTTAAATCTTTCTAGAAATTGTTTTAAATATTGATAGATTTCCCATTACAAGGTGTTCACAAACTATTTTTTGTGCAACTGAAAGTTCTTCATTCCATGAAAACAATAAAAGATGACATAGTTATTAAAGATAGATGTAAGTATGAAAAATGATTTATCTATTATATCTTGACATCCTATCTACTGAAAGCATGCCCAAAAAAGTACTTAATTTTATACTCATAACTTTTTTTTCTGGAATTTCATTCAAAAGCAGATCCTCAAATAGTATTTCACAACGATCAGCAACTGTATTCAATATATCTCTCTTCACTGCCTATGGAAAAACAAAACAAAACAAATTACAATAAGAAACAAAATCTGTTACTATAGGTTTGCATTATTTTATTACTAAGAAACCCTTACATAACTGGTCCCCCTGTATAATCACATCCACTAAAATAAGTGATACATCATTCTTTTTCAAATGTCTACTTAACATTCTTATTAACAACATTAATAGTTTAAAAGCAAATTTGCCTGTCCCATTTAAATAATAAATTAAAACCAAATAAAGAAATGCAGTTTTGCATCTAAACACATAATGCTACTATTCTGAACTAGGAAATGTATAACTATGAAAAAAGTGCTAGTCATGGCACTTTTTCTTAATTACAGAAATTATAGAATACTACCTAGTCATTCTTCCAGTAAATACTTTTCCTATTATTTAAAAAGTTCAATTTCCTTTAAAGGAAATAATTTCCAATGTACTAAGACACACTGTGGAACACTTAATGAACTTGTGTAATCATCATTTTAAAGGAGACATAAAATAGACATTCTACATATGAAAATCTTGTGATCAATTACATGGTATAAATTGTACTGCCTAACCGACTTGGCCTTTGTTAGTCAAAGTTAAATTAATAAAAAATGAAAGCTAATATTAAAAAAATTAAAACTTAGGTCTTTTGAATAGTCATGTTAACATGCTTCTGCTTTTCATGGACCAGTTATTATTCCTTTTGTACCTGCACAGCATCCTTAACCTTGGGTTTATTGCTATGAATGTAAGCTCTGCATTTCACAGCGCCCTTAAGGTTTACAGAGCCACTGCAGATCTGGACGGTGGCTGTGGATCTGTGGTCTGAATTCAGAAGCTGAAAAGACAAAAATCACTTTAAGTTCTAATAACTAGCATTATATTAACTATATAAACTACATTAATAACTACATGAAACATTTAAACATTATAGAAGCCATTTTGTAAAGTGAGAAGACAGTTTTGACTGAACCAAGTATTTGAAAATTTTCTCCATATATTATTAAAAGGCCTTCATATTTCTCCTTATATAAGTTACATATCATTTGTTAAGTATTTGAGTATAGTCAAATATTTTATGTTAAACTTTTAATAGTTTTGGGTCAAAAGACTCAAACATTAAAATAATGTTTTTTATTAAAATAATGTTTTTTGCGAATAACTTTCCTAGAACTGGACATTTTTTAGTCTCTTACATCTCTAAAATTCTTTAACTCTCTAATTATAAACATAAAAACAGAAACAATTTCATTAAACTTATTCTTAGAAATAATGTACTTTAGATAAGAAGAATTTTAAAATATTTACCAACTGCGTTAACACTCTGACATCAAAAGAACAACTACTTGCTGGAGCATTTCCTCGAGGTTTTTTCTAGGGGGAAAAAAGTTAAAACTCTATTACTGAGGTCAGAATGGAACATAAAAGACAATTTAGGAACTATCCTACACATGCTAAATAAGTGAGAGGAAAAAAAGTATTATTATTTGTTTTATTTTAGCTATTTCTATAGACATGTTACTTTGTATATTCTATAGCAATCAATGTATGTTGATAAAAACAAAAAACAAAACATTAATTCCCTACTTTTATTCCACTAAAGTAGGGGTGTCGAACTCAATCAGAGAAGGGGCCAAAATCTAAAATCCAGCCTAAATCGCGGGCCGAATGGTTTACTGAACAGTCATAAACTGTCATTGTGATGGAAACGCAGCGGAGTGCAGTGATGACAGCGCGGTGCAGGCCACATTGCAAGGCCTGGCGGGACGGATTTGGCCCGCGGGCCTTGTGTTTGACACATGTGCTCTAAAGCAAAGACTAGCAAACTATGGTCTATTGGTCAAATTGAGACTACTACCAGCCTTTATAAATAAAGTTTTACTGGAACACACTAAGAATTCATTTATGTATTGTGGCTGCTTTCATGCTACAACATCAGAACTGAATAGCTGCAACAGAGACCAAACGGCCCTTATTTCTGCAGTTTGCAGGCCCTTGCTCTGAATGGAGAGATCATAAAGTTTTTCTTCAGATCAAAGCTGTTTTAGGAGCCCATGTAGTCCCTTCTTTAAATGGCAAAGGTTAGTCTTCAAACTGCCATAAGGGCAATATTCTAATTATTTACAAAATAATCTCATAATTTTATGAGAAAAATGTCTGCCCTTTACTTCAAAAGGCCTTAGAAATAAGAAGTAGGTAACAACTGTTTTCATGAAGGAAATAATGACAGAACTAAGGATACGTCATCTTTTCTTTTTCCTTAACACAAATAATTTCATTAGATGATTTTCTCGGAACTCACCTGTCCTTCTAATAGGTCACAATCTTCAGCTTTAACTTGTCCATTAATCAAATAAACACCATTTTCTATTTGCTTCGCCCAGCGTGCAAGTCCATTCTTATAAGAAACACAACAGGGATATCTTTCAGATATGATGCCATCTCAAACTCCCCACAATCAACTTTTCCTCCTAATTCACTGGCATAGTAAGAAGCTCTATTTAGCAGGTTTTTGCACCTTACTCATCCTATATAATAAAAGTCTAATATGCTAAGTCAACTGTTCAACCAACCAAAGCGTAATATGCTAATGAATGCCAAGGCTGCTCAACTGCTCATTATGACGTGCCCTGACCACCAGGGGGAAGATGCTCCGACCAGTAGGTTAGCTTGCTGCTGGGGTCCGGCCTATTAGGACTGAGCAAGATAGGCCAGACATGCCTTGGATCCCTCCCTCAGTGCCTCCCCAGCCCCAATCATGCACTGGTGGGGTTCCTCAACCTGGCCTGTGCCCTCTCGCAATGTGGGACCTCTTGAGGATGTTGGAGAGCCAGTTTCAGCTCGATCCCACAGGCTACCCACCTCACGAGGGCACCGGACACAGGGCTCACAGCCGGCAAGCGCTGCTGTAGCAGCTTGGAGCTCTCCAGATTGGATCTGATTGGGCGTGAGCCCGCGGAAGGTGTAATGGGGCCAGGATGAGCGAGAGCAGTAGGTAGGAGCTGCAGGCGGCTTTGGACTGTGGGTTTCAGCCCAATCCCCTCAGGCCACCACGAGGGACCCCTACCCCTGCACGAATTCATGCACCGGGCCTCTGGTATTTAATAATAGTTTTTCTAATCTTTATCTCAAACTACCATTTACATCACTGACTTAGAAGGTTTAATCACTACATGACCATAGTCAAATAAGTTCAAAAATTCCCATTATCTTTTAAAAATGTGACAAAAGAAAAAAGCCTCAAATATATAAAGCAGTATTTGCCTCCAACAGAAATGAGATAGAAACAAAAGAATGATACAAAAATTCTTAAAAGGGACTAAAAAAGAGAACACAAAACTAAAAATCATGCAAAAGCAAAAAGACCAAACAGTTAACCTTCTTACATAACTACAATATATTTTACAATGTACATAACTAAGTTAATTAACATATTTATGGAGCACCTATTATGTTAAATATGTTAGTATTATGACATTGTCCTCCCTCTAAATTTGTAATCTGAGGTAATAAATTAGTTACCTCTAACAATATTGTTACAATTAGAATGCAATTTTAAGGATTATAAAATGAACAGTAGACAACCAGAATAAAAGCAAATTATTAATTCAGCAATCACCACAGAAAATTCATTTTACCCTGATACCTTTGTATTTTTCTCCAGAGTATAGCTGACAGAAGTAGTAGACAGTGGGATGTGAATATTAATATGAACTGTACACTCTAAAGAAAGCCATGAAGTTGATAGTCCATTTTGATACTTCCAATCTGCTGGTTTTGCTGAACTCTTTAGTGAGAGAGGGGTAAAAACATAAAATATGTGCTTTAAGTCATCATATATACAACCTAGTAACTTGAACAACCTAATAGTTAATATGTTTGGCCATATTCTTTGGCCTTATTCAAAGGGCAATAGGTTACAACTAAATAAAAACAAAGCATGCATTTAATTTTAGTAATCTTCAAATACTGAGCTTGGTGACTCCCTCCTCCAGAGGTTGGCTGGCAAAAACCAGGTAGTCCATATTTAGAATTCTGAGGAGTCCTCTGGTCCTCTAGCTCTCATCTATAGCTTTGACAATGTTAATTCTGAAGCTGCTGATGTGAAACAAATAACCACTGAGTGACTTTCAGGTGCCAGATGTTCTCCTTTCTATCCCATCCACCTTAACAGAATTCTACAAAGTTACTTTTTCACATTACTTTTAAACACCTTAGTAAACGTTAGTTTGGATTCTGCTAAGTGCAAATAGCTCGCTTACTAGTCACTATAGCTACCAAAAACCCACATACTTTTACCAGCCTCTCAAATATAATACTAAACACATAAACAAGGCAGGGGGAGTTTAATAAACATTTGTTAAAAACAAAACAAAACACAACAAAAACCACATAAATTTTCCTTGACTGTAATGAAATATTTCAAAATACAATAAAAAATATATATATATACGTGGTTATGGACATCAATAGGAGGGAACAGCACTGAAATTTTTTAAAACTAAATAAAGAACTGAATTGTATTTTAAATAGTTTGCAACACAGAAAATCTTTAAAGAGCAATTTTTCTTACCTTTGGATCATGGATATCATAAGTTCGACAAAGTATTCTTTACTAATTAAGGATAAAAATGACCCAGACCATCAAAAAATAAAAGCAAAACAACTATAAGCATCCAAGAATTTTTACAAAATTATACCACTTTACACACTTAACGATATATACAAATATGTATGTAATTGTACAAATATATATATATAAATTGCTCAGACTATAGTTGTCGTGCTTTAAACTATTTCTTATGGCTTATAAATCCTGCTAAACATAATGAATAGAAAGCACTTGCTCAAATACACACCCTCTGTAACAAATAGATGTGCTGTTTTGGATGGAGTCAAGCCTGAGAATCTTTATTGGGTCAAGGGGCCTGTACATGAAGCTTTCTAGTCAAATATACAAAGGGGTTTAAAGCCCAGCTTCTGCAGGAGTGGTCACTGTGTGAATTTTGTCTTTTCCAAATCCTGATTCAGTGGGCCCTTGCATTCCTGCACTCTCTTCCCAAGGCTGTCACTTGCTTGGGAGGCATTCTTGCCCTGGCAAGATGTATAGGAAAGAAGCTAAGGGGACCTTATAACTGGCTTTTAGTGCCATTTGATCTTGCCTGAAGTCCTAAAAATTTCTTAGATATCCTAACTGTCCAGCTCAGTGCACCTGTGCTTTGAATTGAACATTTTACCAATAGCAATTGGACGTAAAAATTTAGCATAATAAAAGCATTACTTTGCTTAAGCTGTCAGCTGGGGTATCTACTTCTCTGTAGGAGATTTATCATGCTGGTAAACAGTTCTTAATCCCTAGTCCTTGACACCTCTGTCAAACTCTTTGCAACCTTGAGGCATGATTATATTAGTAGTAGTAGTAGCAGTAGTAGTTGTTGTTATTGTGCTAAGTATGTGTTATTTACAGAAAAACTTAGAAACTAAGCTTACTTTTAAAATAATTATTTAAATAAATGGGGGGAAACTTATAAGAAAATTATTTTGGAATTATAAACATTTAAAATACAAACACCTAAATAAAAGATACTTTTTTGTAGAAGAGCAAATGTGAAGTGTCACTCGATCTGAGACTTCTTCCTCTGTAAAACTCCACAGTCTCTTTTTATTCATAGATTTTTCCACAGCAAATACTAGCTGAAATAGAGGAAAACACACATCAATTGAACGCAAAGTGAAAGAAGAAAAGTGAATACAGAAAAACATACAATTATAATGTCCCTAAGTTCAATCTATTAAAAATTTCATGATTCTACAATTAAATTGTCTTTTCTTCAAAAGAAAGAGTGAAACTGATTATTAACCGTTTGGGTTCCATTTACACAACTGCTTTTCTAAAATAGAAAATATAATCCATCATCATTAAGAATCTACTGGACATAAAATTTAATGTTTGGCAAACATTTAAGTGAAATATAGAATAAAGGCTTTATTATAATAAGTGCGAGAAAGGACAAGTTATTTTTAAACTATAAAAATGGAGCATGTCACCCATTTGGCATTTCTTATTTAAATGTCACAAAAGATTGCCAAAACCGGTTTGGCTCAGTGGATAGAGCATCAGTCTGCGGACTGAAAAGTCCCAGGTTCGATTCTGGTCAAGGACATGTGCATTGCTTGCGGGCACATCCCCAGTGGGGGGTGTGCAGGAGGCGGCTGGTCCATGTTTCTCTCTCATTGATGTTTCTAGCTCTCTATCCCTTTCCCTTCCTCTCTGTGGAAAATCAATAAAATATATTTTAAAAATAAAAAAAATAAATGTCACAAAAGATTTAAAGCAATATACAAGGACACATACAATATATTAGTAGCAACATAAATTTAAAGTGACAAGAAAAAAAGAAATAGTTGACATATATTTATACCAGAAATAAGAATTATAGAATGGCATACTTGATATATGAAGAGGAGTTATAATATGGCTCTAAGCTTTCTAACAATAATGTGTATAACAAAACCTAATTTGTTACCTACTGCACATGGTCCATAAATTAGCTGAAATCAGAAGAAGCACAACTTTTTTTCATAATTATATCAAAAGAAATTTCTTGAAAGACAATATTATGTGATATAATGAACAAAGTTCTTAACAATGATCTTATGTGAGACACTGGCAAGTTTTATAATGTTCTTTCTTATAGTGTTCCTCAATGCTGGCCAATGGAAACAAAGTTAGATAATTCAAACTCAATAATTACAACATTCTGAGTACACACTCACCCCCACTCAATCCTGCACCAAACACAAAAGGATGCACAACCAATGTTATTAATACATAAAGATTTAGATCATATTCCAAAATGCTATTGAGACAGAGTAACTATAATATACATTTATTAAAAACTAGAGGCCCGATGCATGAAATTCGTGCATGGGTAGGGTCCCTAGGCCTGACTGGCGATCAGGGCCTTCCAACTGCAGGCTGGGGCCTTCCTTCATTCCGCACCACCACCTGATGGTCAGCGCATGTCATAGCAAGCAATAGAACTCCTGGTCTCTTGGTCAAATTCCCTTGGGGATACTTTGCATATTAGCCTTTTATATATATAGAAGATGGGAAAGACAGCAGAAGGTTGAATAACTTTCCAGGGGAGGGAAAAATCTCCATTTTCTTCCCTTACTCCCTTAGGTACAAATATCAAAAGTCTGACAGTGGACATTTGATAGGTAAGGTTATAAAACAAGAAGAATCTGTAGCATCTGGAATTCTTGGTTGCACACTTTTTTACTAGAAAAACTTGTGGGGACTTCCTGTGGATTTTTGCACTTTTTAAGGTTATGAGGTCCGCTTCTCTCTTGATGGGGGAAATAACTTTTTATTTATTTTTAAATATATTTTTATTGATTTCAGAGAGAAATGGAGAGGGAGAGACAGAAATGACCATGATGAGAGAGAATGACTGATTGGCTGCCTCTTGCACGCCCCCCGCTGGGGATCGAGCCTGCAACCCTGTCATGTACCCTTGTCCAGAATTGAATCTAGGACCCTTCAGTCCACTGGATGATGCTCTATCCACTGAGCCAAACTGATGAGGTGGGAAATAACTTTTTAAAGAGATGAAAGCTGGCTGCAGAGTTTACTTTAGGTTGTCAGGTGAAACAGGTTGTGAAACTTCATATTTACATGTAGACTTTATTACCCAATTCACTGATGTGGAAATAAAACAAAAACAAGGGATTCATAATACTCAGTCCAGGAATAAAGAATAAATATCTGATTATTGTGATGGCTTTATGTCTTACTCTCAGGATACTGAGAGAATTGAACAGAAGAATCGCAAAGCCTATTAATTTCACATTAGAGCAACCATTTGGAACTAAATGAAAAGTCTAACAGAATACTACTATTGTAAACAGAAAGTTAAATCATTATAACTTGTTTCATAATAATAAAAAAAAAATCTTTAAATTAAGACTATTTTAACATCTGCAGCTTTGACTGAAAATATAAATATTGACATTATACACAAGATACCAAGCAACTGGGTGGGAAAGCTATGCCAACATAATCTATAATAATAAAAGCATTATATGCTAATTAGACCAGACGTCCTCCCGGATGTCCTTCACAGATGGCCTTCAGGAGGAAGCGGGGCTGCAAGTGAAACCTGGGTCCCTGGCGCCAGAGGAAAGCCAGTGCTGGCAGCTGGGGAAAGGAAGGTCTCATCTTGCATGAGTTTTGTGCATCGGGCCTCTAGTATAAAGAATTATGGGATAGAAATTCAAATATGTATTTCAGGTATACATATATCCAAATAGCACCCATTAAAATAAGATGTAACTTGATCACATTAAGAATTTTTATATTTCAGACTTACTCTGCGCAGGGTATTTTGAAAATCATTTCCCATTTCTAATGTTGTAATAATAAATATTCCAAGAACTAAAAGTCCCCCAGGTAGCATTCTGGATACCTAAAAATAGAAATATAGTATTAGCCAACATAAACATTTGGCATTATATGCAATCCTTTGTGTCTGAGAAGCTAAATATTAAATCAGCAAATCCCTACTGAGTACCAACTATATGAATAGCAGTGAGGCAGGAGCTTTGAGAAACGGGTTAAAATACTGAGAAATGGATGATAACCAAGACAAATAGGGTGTCAGTATGAACACAATCTTTGAGTTTTCTTTATACACTATGAAAATACTGTGTTTGGCCCAGAGGATATAGCCATAAACAAAACAGATATTAAACCCTGTTCCTCATGAAACTGAGTCTAGCTTAGACTCATATCACCTTTTTTTTTTTTTTTTTTTTTTTTTTTTGACTATTGCTGTTATATGTATTTGGTTCTGTCTCCAGATGCTCTACTCTCCAACTACACTGACCAAGGCATTGAACTGCCACGTGTCCAAAATGGAAACCAACCCCACATGCCACAATACTTTGAATTTAATTTAAAAAAGTCAATTTGCAATGAATATTATAAAAATAAATGTATTACTCACAATTTGGGTATTCTTGATTATTTTCAGTTAAAAATTCTCACAAAAAATGATTTTTTAAAGCATCTATAGACGTTTATGGCGTACAAAAGGTTAAAATTAATTTCTAAATTACTGACAGATCATATTACCTCCTTCTCAAAATAAGGAGTTCTTAACTTTACCATAGAGCTACTGTCTACCAAACAAACTCCTCACTTCTTAGGATAGGACTCCAAAGCCATCCATAACTGGCCCCTTACAGTCTTATGTATAACTATATTCTTTTATATATCGTGTATTTCAATGATACCCAATTGCTTGCTATTTTCCTAACATACCTTTAACTTTAATGCCCTCAGGTCATTTATGCATACCTTCCTTTGGACATTGAATTTGTTCCCTAACTTCTACTGGCAAAGTCCTATTCATTTTTTGAGTTCAGAGCCTTCTATCAAACTGTCTGAATCCAACCATTGGCAGGTATTTAGTCATTCCCCTTCCATATTTCTGTAACATTTTCTATTTTTATCTCATTTCTCTTATAACTGGTTTGGGTAATGTCTTTTAATTGGTTAAAACATAGATTCTGAGGATTTTTTAAAAATTTAACTGTCATTTTATTGCCTCAGTGCCTAGATTAAATCTTTAAAACAATATGACCAGAAACTATATTATCAATGACTAGTATTATTTAAAGAAAAACTGAAAATAAGCTAAATGAACATAGTAGGAGATAAATTTAAAAAAATGTAACAGATAAAAATTAACAATGGAAAAGCATAGCATATAAGATCAAAAAGTCAGACTGCCTTGGTTCAAATCCCGGTTCCATTACTTATTCTGTAATCTTGGGAAGGTTACTTAACTTCCAGTAAGAAAATGCAAGTTGTGAAAATTTAAGAATGAGTACTCTGAAATCCTACTCTGGTAATCTGAGGATAAAGTGCTTTTATTGTATCAGTCAATAAATACAAATTTAACTATATAAGGAGAAAACTCTGGTGACCTGGTTAGCATGTTCCGTGACCCATTCTTCATCCAAGTTATCCAACTGATCTTTGGGATGCTTGAGATTCTCATTTTTTTCCTCTTTTGGTGGTGTTCTAGTGGCAAGAATCACATAATCCTTCTGTGAAGAACACTTAAAAACAAATTAGAAAAACTTATTAGAGTGATATCTGACTGAAGAATGTAAAGCTCTTATGACATGCAAAAATAGTAATATTTATAACAGCTTAAATTGTTAATGTCTATATTATAATGGAATCTATACAGAAATCAATCTTCATAAATATGCTTATAACACTTTCCCCATACGTCATCTTTTAATATATTTAATATCAGCCTCTTATTTATTTGGACATCCAAATATGAATCACATAGTGTTCACTAAAAATGACTTACTGGATGAGTAAATGAACTACATTTAAATAAAAAGAAAACAAATATGCTCGGTCAATTTTCTAGTTATTATATTTATTTCCTATATAATTTGAACATATTGATGGTTCAATGAAATAAAGCAACAAATGATCTTATGCATCTTACTTTCATTGAAATGACAAATACTGTGTATCAATAGAAACTAAAAACAAAAAGAAAAACACACAAAAAAAATAACAATAGTGGGAAACTTGCATATGTGTGTCCACAGAAAAACAAGGGAACACATAAGTGAAATGGTATCAGATTTATGTTCCTCAGTTTTAATAGCAATTAAATGGTAATCGAAGGTGGGAAACCCAAATATAAATTTAGGAACATCAAATAGCCTCGTATTATTACAGTGGGAGGTTCCTATAAAGAAAGAATAAAAATAAGACTGATAATACAAGTTAGTATGTCGCCATCCTCAGACATGACCTGAAATTCCCATCTTTAGTGTCATCTTGAACTAGAAAAGAAAGAGAATTTATTTCTATAAAAGTTTTTTCCAGAGAGTTACATGCAAATGTACATAGGAAAAAGTACCGGTAGGTGCTGATTAAGAAAGCTATTCCTTCTCATAAAATCTATGACTTTGAAAAGAAAATGACCCTGGAAGTAGGAAACAGATAAGCTTGATGGGAAGGAGAGAAAAATGATGAACCCTGGAATAAAGAGGAAGAAAGAACATGTGGAAGAGTGGACGGAATTACAAGGCAGCATGAAGCAACACCAGAAGGAACATCCCAACTTGGGAGACGCATTTGTGAGAAGCCATCTGTGTGCACTAAGGCAAGTTTGGAAGAGAGTATTTCTCACTAGACTTTTATTTCACTGAACCCATCTTTCTCTAAAACTCTTCTTCCCTTATATTTAAAAACAATAATAATAATGGGAAGTAAAGAACCTTAAGTAAAAAGTTCCTAGCAGCATGCATATAACCCTAACCAATGGACACAGACAACAGGGGGGGGGGGAGCGGGTGGAGAGAGGGTGCCGCGGGGTGTGAGGGCATGAGTGAGGGGATTTGGGGTGGAGGTAATGGGGGGATAAGGGGAAGAAAGCTATGGAGGAAAAAGAAAACCCCACAAACACCAGCATCATAAAAGATTTACCATTTAGCACAAAAATAAACATATAAAGAAAAAAAAATTCCTAGCAAAAGGAACTCTATATTAGATACTGTGTTTCCAGAATAAAAAGGAAGTTCAGATTGTTGCCAAGAGAGGCAGGCTGGTCGTCCAATGAGAGGCCTCAAGGGATGGGACTACCTGGGTGAACAGTGCAGGGTCTGCCCTCTGTCTTACAAGTTCAGAATCAGGTTTGTGACCATGAAGGTGTGACCAGGGGGGTCATGGGAATATGGGATAGCATCAGAACAAGGAGAGTTTGTTATGCAATTTGAAAGGCATCATGATAAAATATCTGGAACTAGAGCTGTGTCACAACAGAGCTTCATTTGCTAACAGGCCTCAAACTCAAGCCCTTGGGCCACAGTGCACTTTCCCCTAAACAGTGTTTAGATGGATGCAGTGTTTGTCTGTTACTCTCTTTTTTAGTTGCTGTTGCTGCTTTGTATTGCTGACGAGTCCTCCTTGCTTATTAGCACAGCCTTCCTTCAATTATAATAAGTCAGTTGGTGCTTATGCTTTTTAAAGTAACTGTCCAAATCTCTATTCCAGTTTGTGTTGACTTTTAAGGCTTAACTTTATGGGAGAAATAGAACATGTGTAATTTTCAAATTTCTCCCACCTCTTCCCACTCCCTCTCCATTGAATTAACATTTTAGTAAAAATCAATATGGTAAGTACTATACTATGTAACAAAATATAGGATGACTGTTGCTCTAAGACTAAGATAAGACAAATTAAAATGGGAGTAAACCTGTCAAAAACTACTTCTATAAAAATACTGAACCATCAGGAATTAATAAAGATTAGAAGGAAGTACAAAACACTTTGGAAACACACACACACACACACACAAATGTAAAATAATAATTAGTAAAAATTCTAATTTTGATGTTTCCACATTATAAATTATTTTTGCATTGTCAAACAGGAATGTGTTCTGACTTGAGCACAGCTGGACTAAGTCTGTCATACCGCTCCGCATTTTTCCTGAAAAAATCCATTTTAAATTTACTTCTACATTCCATCCCTTCATCCCCGAACCTTGAGCTTATTGTTAAACAGCATGGTTCAAATGGAAATAAACAGGTAATTTGTCCTGTCAATTAAATACACAGTAAAAGATACATACCTGTCCTATTAAAAGACCTGAGACAAAAGACTTTCCTTGGAGACTGAGGTTTGAGAGATACTGGCCAATAGTCTCTTCTACAATGTAGGTTCTTCCCATTATTGAGAACTAATTCAATCTCCTAAATTACAAGAAAAAAAATATAGTATTTTTAGGGGGGGGGAATATAACTTGCAACATTTTTCTCATGGGGGGGAAGTACAGAGAGAGAAGTGGCACTACCTCAATGCCTTGCAGTGATTGCTTATTAAATAGGATATTCTTACTTGCAAAGTTCAAATGTAGCTTCAAAATTCTCAACATAGTGCTGCAACCAGAGTTGATGTGAGGCTGACCAACCAGAGTTGATATGAGAGATGAAACTCAATACCACATTTCTGATCAGGGAAAGGACACTAAATTAGTAGTCTACACACCTGTATTTTTATTTCAGACGTACTACTCCTTAGTTGTGTTAAACTTAATAATCTATTGCTAAGCCTCAGTATGCGTTTCTCAAACAGAAAAGATAATTTTTTTTTCAATCCTCACCTGAGGATATGCTTTTATTGATTTAAAGAGAGAGAGAGAGAGAGAGAGAGAGAGAGAGAGAGAGAGAGAGAGAGAGAGAAACATCGACTGGTTGTCTCCCATGAATGCCCCAACCAGGGATCGAACCTGAAACATAGGTATGTACCCTGACTAGGAACCAAACTGGCAAACATTCCCACTGAGCCACATGGCCGGGATGATAATATTTGATTTGCTCAGGGGGAGGTAGAGAACCTAAGCATACTGTGAAGAACTACTACATACTAGAAGTTGTGCCAGGTGAGATGCTATGAAGGTAATGTTTGATGTCTGCTCTTGAGTAACTCATAGAACAAGAGCTACTGAAGTAAATAGCAATGCAATAACAACATTTGCATAGCTTCTACTAAAACAAAGAAAGGTAATGTAACTTGCCCAAGTGACAAAGCTGGTACATGGCAAAGGTACAATGTGAACTCAGTCTGGTTCTAAAACCCATGCCCTTAAATACCATGCTTAGAACGAGGAATCAAACTCAGTTTCTCTTCTAAACCGTTACTAGGAGTAACTCCTGACGGTGGATGAGAACCAGTATATTCCTCTTACTGGCCTGTGCTCCTTTGATTTGACTTTCTGTAGCTAAAAAACAAAGATGCCAACTGAAAGAGTAGGCAATAATGAACGATGATCTCAAAAAGTTCACATTGGGTGTGGGAGACAAAAATGTAGAGATGATATTCCAAAATATTATAAAACATATAAAAGACTATAGGTACACAGTTGGCAGCATTTTGTCTTTCTTGTTTTTAAATATATTTTATTGATTTTTCACAGAGAGGAAGAGAGAGGGATAGAGTTAGAAACATCCATGAGAGAGAAACATCGATCAGCTGCCTCCGGCACACCCCCTACTGGGGATGTGCCCGCAACCGAGGTACATGCCCTTGACCGGAATTGAACCTGGGACCTTCCAGTCCGCAGGCTGATGTTCTATCCACTGAGCCAAACCGGTTTTGGCAGTTGGCAGCATTTTGAATAGAGATAAGAAGTCTTTGGAGTTTTATAAAAAATTTCACTCTGAGTCAGTACAACAAAGTGGAAGCAACCAGAGATGTGCAGGGGTGGCGTATCTGACACCGGTAAACTGTCACAATGATCTGCATTCTCCAAAACAAAAGCCCAGAGGACTGGCTCCAACTTGACATGGCCTGCCAGATGCTGTGGTTGTTGCTGCTACTGCTGTTTTTCAAAGAGCCTGTTCAGTTTTGTCTCGAAATGCATTCAGCGTCTTCCTACCTCTTTTCCAACAACAGTTTGCACACAATTTTTGTTTAGATTACGTCAAGAACTGCCTTTCTAAATCATGAATACCTCCATAAAAGTAAGGGCATTTGACTTTGATAGTGCCTTAAAGTATGCATTTCTGTGTTTTAAACTTTCCTCTACTTCATCATGCAATTCCACTCCTTTCCTTCTGGCCTAATAATTCCTAATGCTTGCAAGAAAGAGCAGTGACAGTGACTCCAAAGTTATGGTATGTACCTGTCTCACCTTATTTCTTCCAAGGTGACACCTACTGGCCATGTCAATGTATAAGAAACTGAATGCAACAGGAAGAGGAAAATGTGTTGGGTTGTGAAATCTGGTTGAGTGTTAGATTTTTTTTGTTCTGTTTAGTGCTCCTTTCAAATTTTGAAATGTAGCCAACGATACTTTACAAAGGACAAGACTAAAAAGGTGACCTTCGCTTACAGTTCAATTTTTCCTGAAAAACTGTGCGTCAGCAAGAGCTTTCCAAGTTGTCCAAACACTGTGACTTGAGACAACTCTACCGCCCTAGTCTACAAAATAAACCCTAGCAGGATCCCAGAGGTCTGAAAAACCTGTCAAAAATTCAGGATTCTGCGAGTTCATGTACAGAATAACTGCCCTTTCCAAATGCGCGATAACATAATGATAATATTGTGTACCTAGGGCATAGTACAGTACTGCACAGACCTGAAACTTTAAAGTGATTACATAAAATATTTCAGAGGTCTTAAAAAATCAACCCTGAACTCTTTACTGACATTAGAAAGTGGCCTACTACTGTGGGAAGTGCAGGGGGAACGACGTGAGCAATGCTTTCTGTTCAATAAAAGAATTTAAGTTATTTTAGGAGAGCGATCACACATGACGTCATCTTTAGAGTCAGCTTAGAGGCCAGAGTTACATCTGGAAACAAGCAGTTCTCTCTTCAGGTGGTGGAGTGAGAAGTGGTTTATAAGAAATTTGCTTAAAAACGTTTGTGATGGCAGTTTTTCCATTAAAAAAAAAAATATATATATATATATATATAAATGGAAGGTCCCCTTTTCTGCAATGTTACCTTGGCACACAAAACAGAGGTGACACTCCAACACGCCTCCAAACTTCCTTTTTGGAATAAAATCTTCGTCCTGAAAAATGAACCGGGCGGGCTCCTTACATTCCTGTTTGGCTCCCTGTGACCCACCCCAACACACACACACTACACACAACACACACACTCATACTCACAGACACTCACACATACATACACACACATGAACACTCACACACACACTCACTCACTCTCACACACACACACACACACACACACGGCATCTAAGTAGCTCTTTCCAATAAGATGAGTCTGTCCAAGTTGGATTTGAGTGTGTGGTGCCATCGTGTCTGTCCACACGTTTCCTACAGCCTGTCTGTTTCTTCCTTAAAAAAGGGAAGTTCTCCTGTCCAGGTGCGCGCGCGCACACACACACACACACACACACACACACACACACAGCCTTCGTATGCACGCGTTGCAGCCTAAGGCTGAGTCACCTGCACGCGTGGCAGCACACTCACCTGCCGGCCCGTGCGGGGAACTGAGGGCCCAGGTACCAGCCTCCAGGGACCAATTCCCGGCTCAGGGCTTAGGGACCCAATAATTCATCCGAAGGCGACGGACGTCCCCACCCCTTCCCACTCCCCACCCCGGGTCTCCGGAGGCGGGCGGCGCAGACTGATGACGCAATGGCCCCCCGGCCTCCGCCGCCGCAGTTCCTCTGCCAAAGCGCCTGCGGGCCGCCCCGCCCCCTTCCGGGCACCGTGCACAGCTGGGCGTTAGCCCGGCGCCTGCTATCCGGGCCTGCCGCGGCCGGTGCCCTCTAGCGGCTCAGTGTCTAGGAGCCGCCAAAGGGGACTCGCCATGGCCTCGCGAAGCTTTGACGGTAAGCGGGCCCTGCTTTGTAAGGAGGGACGTGGGTTATAAGAAGCACCGTGTGGCGCCACCTCGCGGTCAGTGGCCACGCGGCCTGCTGGGGAGAGCAGGGGGGGGTGCGGGGGGTGGGGAGAGAGAAACAGGAATAAAGGAGGAAGCTGACCGGATGTTACATAACTGGGCTCCGCGAGGCATTTGTGAGAAAAAGAAATACATTTCCCAGAATCCCGCGGGGCTTCCTGCTGGTGAAAAAGGGAAGTCGGAGGGCAGGTGCGGGTCGGAGGCGGCCTCTGCACTGCTCCCAGGATGCACCGCTGCCGGTTGCTGCGCGCGCATCCGGACGCGGGCGCCGCAACGCTGGTGGTGGTGCCGCCGCCGCCGCCGCTGCCGCTAACGCAGGGTTTGGTTCCCCAGGGTCCCGCCGCGGGAACCTCCGGCGGGCCGGCGCGCGCGAGCCCCCGAGCGAGGCCGCAGAGGTGGCCGCCCAGGCTCCTGGGTCCTCCTCCTCCTGGTCTTCGCCTTTCTTCGCCGTGTCCGGTCCGTCGGCCGCTGCCGCGGCGGCCCCCGGCCTGGCGGACATGGCGGCGGTGTTGCAGCAGGTCCTGGAGCGCACGGAACTGAACAAGCTGCCCAAGTCCGTGCAGAACAAGCTGGAAAAGTTCCTGGCCGACCAGCAGTCCGAGATCGACGGCCTGAAGGGGCGGCACGAGAAGTTTAAGGTGGAGAGCGGTAAGTGACGCGCTTCCCGCGCTCAGGTGGGGGCCCGGCTCCCGCCTATGAGCGCGCTCGCTCGCTCTCTCTCTGGCCGCGACTTCCCTGGTAGCATCGCTTCTTCGCTCTCGAGGGCCCTCCTTGGCCTTGTCTTCCCGGCCCCTTTCACTGTCCGATAAGCAGGAGCCTTTTTGCAAATCTGACTCCACAGTTGGGTCCGTTTTCTTTGTCATTGGGGCAGTCTCCCAGAACGAGGAATGGTGACCACCTGAGGGTCTGTTTACCCCGCACCGCAGAGCCTACGGCCTCTCTCTGAGCCCTGAGCACCCCGTGTGTCGGTTGCACGGGCCGCCACGGTGATTGCCGCCTGGTTGTGTGCTCACCTGCATGCAATCTGTCTCATCGACTGCCTCGTGCGCTTGTTTTGAGGGTGCGTGCGGGGCTCTGGTCCCGTAGGAGGAACGAGATGCTTTGCAAAAATGCGTACGTAGGTGCATATAGGATGGCGTTGGCAGCGAAGTGAACGTTTACGATGCTGGACTTAACCTCTGAAAGCGGGAGTTTAATAGGAAATGATGTGACGGCCTATTGGTCATGCCTGCAGTAGACCCTCCAGTAAGAGCAGACTTGAACGTTCTTGGTAAGAGAGAGGTTAGCCATTGGTAAAACACTGACTCCCTGCTGTTTGCTTCGGTTCACCCAGTTTTGTCTTCGGGGATTGTTACTGGCTTTTGTTTGCTACGTTGGTTGAAAGTTGTGAATAAGTTATTACTTCAGAAAGTGTTGCAGAATTGACGTTGAAAATGAATTTCCCGCGTCCCCAAGGTGAATCTGGTGTACTGCATTGACACAAAAATATTGAGTAGTCTTTGATGTGCCTGATAACAGCGCTGAACAGGGCTTTAAGCCCTTCTTCCCGTGATAAGAACACATTTGTTTTTACTTAAATGTAGTCAGTGTATACTTTGGGGGTATATTTTGGCTGTTTTAACACTAGCCTTTGAAAGCAGGTGGTTTTTAATGGAAATGATTTTTTTCTCCATTTAATAGAGCTTATTTGGCTGCTTTTTATGCTAAGGAATCTACTGACATAATGGGGAAAATACTGAGATAGAAGACAAGTTTTCTGCCTTGAAGAAGTTCTTAATGTTGTGTGATAGACAGGCTAGTAATTTGCAAAATCCCCCTCAGGCCTTGTTTTCTTTTGTCAGATACTTACCATTTAAATCCTTTGAAGTCATTTTCAGTGCTACCAGTATTGACCTTTACTCAAGTTTTCTTACTTGGTGTGCAGTTCCAATACCATGTCTTAAATTTTAAAATGAAGCTTATTAAAAATAAGTGGCATTATCGAAATTGAGGGTACATGTGTTCTTTATTTTTTTTCTCTGCTCTTCTGTAGAACAACAGTACTTTGAGGTAGAGAAGAGGCTGTCCCACAGTCAGGAGAGACTTGTGAATGAAACCCGAGAGTGCCAAAGCTTGCGGCTTGAGCTAGAGAAGCTCAGTAAGTATTTGATTATATCTTTTTTTTAAAATATATTTTTATTGATTTCAGAGAGTAAGGGAGAGGGGGGGAGAGACACATCAACGATGAGAGCCAATCATTGACTGGCTGCCTTCTGCACGCCCCTTAGTGGAGATGGAGCGCGCAACCTGGAAATGTGCCCTTGACAGGAATCCAACCAAGGACCCTTCAGTCTGCAGGCTGATGCTCTATCCACTGAGCCAAACCGGCTAGGGCCTAATTACATCTTTATCATATTCGTGGAGTATTGAGATCTTCTGACACTTTTGTATACTTTGGAAACATCTAATTTATAATGAAGATACTGTTTTCATTAATGGTAATATTTTGATTTTTCATTCAGTGGTAAAGACTATAAAAGAAAATAGGGTTTAATGGTCAGGAGGCCTTGGTTCTAATTCTGAGTGCTATTAAAATGTTCTTTTGCCATATGTAACTCAGAATGGTGCCTGACTGTTTATAAAATGGCTAGAACCACATGCCTATCTACTTACTATACAGGTCAAATGTGATATTAGAAAGCATTTTGAAAAGAATAAAAGCAATTAGGCAACTGAAAAGGTGAGGAGAGTGCTTAATTATTTTTGTTGAAAAATTAAAACCTATTTGTTTTAATTTTATGTTATAAATATTAATCTCAAGATATTTCCTACTTAATCCTAGTTCAGGTGAAAGAAAAGTAGCTAATTTCCTCAATTAGTTTTTTTTACATCACTGAGTACTAAAAAGTGCACAGATTCTAATTAAAGGTCTTGATATTTATTGGGAAGATGATGTGTATTTGCTTTGTCTACAATAGAAAAAAGCAAATGTCAGAAAAGACTTGTTAGAGTATGGGGCATAATATTGGTAACTTGATACAGATGGATTTTAATTTGATTAAGAACTCAGGAAGCAAATGATAAGGAGAATGGTTAAAACATCCATCTTTTTTCTTAACCAGGTTCATGTCCTTTGGCTATTTGGGTCATTCTTTTATCAGCTAATTTTGGCACAACTCATTTTTAAAACATGACATACATATGATGGTATGATATGGATACATTTGTAATGAAGGCATATGTATATATTGAATAAATAGATCCACTTTATTGTCTATACATTGTTTTGCTTTAGCATAATAAGGACTATACAATAGTGATGCTGAAGAATTTCAGGAAAATAACTGATTATAGCTGCTTGTGTTAGATCTGGAAAAGGGAGAGGGAAGGGAAGATGGGGTAAAGAAACATAAACAGACATTTGAGATGTATAACTACATTTATATTTTTTTAGTTTTACTGGATGTGTAAGTTTGGAAAGCAGTAAGTAACTTTAAAGCAAAATAGAAAATTTAGACTAATTTTGTAATGTTTTTTTCTTGTAATAAGCCAATTGTTTAAATAGAACTTGATACTAGAAATAGTAATAAAGTATTTGCTCATTAAATTGCTAGCACATAATATTTTAATTGAAGAAAACTTAAAGTTAACTCTTTCCTAATTACCTTCATGTGTTTAGCAGAGAAACTCTTAAGGAGAGATAGCCCATTCATTATATGTGGACATTGTAGGATTGATAATTGAATATCAAGTATAATTTCCTTTCTTCCATGTTAAAGTCTTCTTTACAGTGATTAATAAGCCAAATTATAATCAGTGTCTATTGTGATTTATTCTGTATACATTCTTCTATAAAGAAGTTAAATGTTATTAACTATTTTGGTATGTTTTAGCTCAGTTTTCTTATTTATAAATTTAATCACTTTTTTTATGTTTGACTTGCAAGATGTCATTGAAAAATAAGGAAGTTGGTAATTACATATGCTTTTTTACCTATAAATGTTGGCTGGAATGATCACATGGAATTTTGGTCTAGAAATTCAGAAAATTTGGGGTGTATTTATGATTTGAAATGCAATGTATAACTCAGTCTTCCTGAAACTCAGTTCTTAATTTTAAAGTGTATATGAGTGGCAGTTGGATAAAACCTGTTCATTGCAAATTTTAAGCCTGTGTGTGATCATAAAATTCCTTTTATCCAGACAGTCAACTGAAGGCACTAACTGAGAAAAACAAAGAACTTGAATTTGCTCAAGATCGCAACATTTCCATTCAGGTAAGTGTTATTCCTATGAATAAAACTAATTATAAACATGATACTTGAAGTTTTCTATTGATCTATTAGTGGGAAGATGAAACAGATGTTCTATTAGAAGAAGCTACTAGCAAAAGCATACACATAAATTTCTTAATTGAATCTATATGTTTTATTGATAGATTGGACATTTTACTCAGAATATATATTGGTACTTGACATAAAAAAAAAAAACAAAAAAAAAAAAAAAACCTTGATTTTTAGCTCTGAAGCGCTCTTAAGTTGTGATTTTTAAAATTATTGTAAGTAAAGTGCCAGAGAATTAGATAAAGGATAGATGGATGTTCATAGATCCATCTAGTCACTCACACACTTACCTACTTGCCTTCCATCTTTCCTTTCTCTTAGAAATTATCTATTTAATGCTTATTATTATCCAG